CGAAATTACGGATTCTAGCGTTGTAAGTCCGCAGACATACCGCTGTGCCACTGGCGGGCGTTTATTATATATATATATATATATATATACTTTAAAAATTACTAATCTAATAATCTAGAGGGACAAATACGAAGACATGAAACGGTAAATATATTGTCTACAGGTTGGTGTGATGAAGAAATATAATACAAGTGTGATGTTTACACAATCAGTACTACACATGTAAACAGTAACAATTAAACATTAAAGTATGAAACTCTAATACCGCTAAATGTGGTTTAAAACCAATAACATTTATAGATTTAAGATAGCACTAGATTAGTGTCTAATTTTAAAAAATGTAAAAATAAAACAAAAACTATCCCAGAAACAAAACCTACTTAAACGCCGATTGAAACAAGAAAACTTACTCTTAGTCACTACGATTGGATGTACCCAGGGATTTTTCCAATATGAGCAGTCGGACATCACATTTGTATTTATCTCATTAAACTCTCTTACACACTAAGAGTTTAACAACTCCCCCTTTTTTTAAAATAAAGTCATAAGTTCGGCACAATTTAAAATCGCCTAAGAAATATTTGGCCCCACCTCAAGCAACCTAGGTAACATCCATAGTCAACTGCCTGTCGGTGATTTCATTGACTCACGCCAAAACGTACACCACTAACTGAGATATAATGGCGGATCTGCTGCAGTGCTGGCATTGATCGTGAGAGATTGACCCAGGACATGTTACCATGACAACCACGGACACATCTACATGTAGTGATGCGGGGACTAAGCCCAGTTATTTACGGGATTTCTTATTTCTTTAATTTCCTATCGGTTCTACTTTACACTATATGCAGCTGTACGCACGCATTGAAATACTTTAGTATGACACTTAAAGTATTTCTACAATGAAAGACTAATTACAATTTATTTTTTTACATACCTTACAGTCCTATGACAAAATATATATGTACAGTTTATGCGTTTCTATATAACAGTGAAAAATAATGTATAATAGTTTAAAGATTTACAATAAAACCAATGATATTTTTAGCAAGAAATGCTCCTTGGTGTAACTTTAATTAGTACACGCACATAAAAACGGGTGTTGATACTGTTTTGCTTGCTTTAACATAAATATTTCTCCACCCATGGATGGTAGAAAGTTTGATATTAAATCATATTCCTAACACACCTCTGTCATGACCAGTTACAAAACTATCATTTCCAGCTACAGGTTAGCGACATAAAATGTTACCCAAGGAAACCATTGTTGTTAGTACAAGTGGCTGAATTTCAAATCATCTATAATGATAGTTTTGTTCAAGAGCAACGTCTATTTTAATATATTTACAAATAACAGTATACTTTTCTTCTTAACACAACAATAACATTTACTACTTAATGAACGATTAATCGAAACACAAGCTGTGTCTTCTGTAAACTGGTTTAAGTAAATATTAACTTTGAAGTTTCAACCACCTTAAGCACATGTCCGTAATCTAAGAATCAGGGTAGGTAAAGAAATATACATAAATAACTTCAATCGCAATCATTTGTTTTCTAAAGCACTCAAAGAGCATGTAAATCACTAAAATTATGAATGCTTGTTCAAAAAATAAATATTTACTCGTTGGATATTTGGTGACTTGTAGAATAAACAGATCTTAACAAAAGTCACATTCTTTTCCCATTTCTGTTCCACAACACCAATAATAGCCAAGTAAAAATGTTTTCTATATCTGTCCTACCCTAAAAAACTAATATCATTGAAATGTTTTAGTGGTAACTTCGTTTCGTATAAAAAAAAAAGATGAATAAAAATAGTAATAACTTGCCTTAGTTCAAGTATGAGGGTGTCTTGTGTAAGTATTTTTTGTAGTTTCCTCCATCATTTGTATGGAAAATATATATATTTGTGATCATAGATTGTACAGGTTACTGTAAACCACATAATGCATGCTTTCCACCACGTCTATCGTTAAACTCCCGTGATCAATTACCGAAAAATTTACAATGCAAGAACCCCGTTCTCTCCTAATGAACGTTTGAAAATGACTCATTATCTTTTTTTTTTTTCTATGATAATGCAACACATTGGTCCTTTATGGATCCGACGCACACAGTTATTCTTCTACACACCAAGTGTAAACACTGTGTCATTAAAAAATAAACAGCTGAAGTTAAAGTAAATTGAAATTTCCTTTTGAGTTTTCATGGAAGATGACACCTTTGCAGATTTAAGATTTCGTTTTAAGTATACCAGAAAGAATAATGAATTCCAAGGCTACTTGAGAGTTTGCGTGTTGTTTTATTTTATTTTCGCGTGAAACTACACAGTGGGATATCAGCGCATAGCCATTTCTAATCTTTAACTGATAAACTAGTGGAAAAGCAACTAGTTAGCCATCCATACCCATCGCCAACTTTTAGGCTACTCTTGTCTGGCCGAATAATGTAAATTCACCTTCGTTTTCAGAGCCCATCCACGGCCCCAAGTGCAGGGTACATTATTGCGACAACACAATGCAAACCCTGAATCCTCGAATTGAAAATTCGGGCACACTAACCACTACGCCACGCCCAGGCCCAATGCTAGTTGAAACAAAAATTTATGACCATTACAAATTTCTCAAAATATAGTGAACGTTGTAACAGAACCAGACCGTTTAAAAATTAATTACTCATTTTCAAACTCTAAAATGTGTCAAACTACGCACTCCCTGTGGCTAAGCGGTAAGTTTGATGTTTTATAACACTTGAACTCGGGGGTTCGATACCTGTTGTGAGTAAAGCGCAGACATCCCACTAAACACAAACTACTAAATTCATCAAGCTATAAATTAAGTTTGGATAAAAAGCTCAAGCGCCAATAAAGACAATAATCAGCAGAATATAGCCTGTCTGTCCTTTGTAATGTTTCTCAAAAATAGCTTCCAGTATAGTAAAATTGTTTAGTATTGACTAATTCGCATTTAGTGATTGTATATTATATGTATTTCCCCGAAAGCCGCTTGGAGAGGTCACCTTTTTTAACCACTTACACCACTATACAGTAGTGTGTTGTCTGTCAGTCAGTCAGTAGACACTAAAATAACGTCACATAAGGGGGCGCTTAAGTTGCAATATGTACTGTCGTGACGTCAGTAAAAGGTGCGCATGCCACGAATTACGAGAAGAATTACACACTCTGAAGGCTACAACACATCATGACATATAAACTTCAAAATCAAGAAATAAAAATATTTGTTACTCTTAATTTTGGTTATATTTACTGTTTAAACAGAACACTTTCGGGGACCCTGCAGAATTACATCTAGTATATATACACCTCACGAGTTGAATGCCTGTATAGGTATGCTTATGTGAAAGCCACACATCTGAAATGACTTCTTGTGTCTTAAAACAGAAATATAGTGATATTATTCCGAAATGTAACCCACAATTTCCTCAAAAAGTATTTTTATTACATGTGAGAACTTTTGCTTATTACCACGATACATTAGGCAAAGTCAGGACTGAAAAAAAAAGACAAAAATCGAATTATTTAGTCATTATTAAGTTACATGATGAAGGCCAAAGCTGGAAAGTAATACAAGTTTAGTATAAAGGTTGAGAGACACTCTGACGTCATTTTAAGATTATATTCTAGACAATTATGGGATGAAGGTCAAGTTCATGGACCGTACCCCCAACGTAAAGGTTCATGATCACTGATAAATTCCACTTCAAAGGTAAATCCTGTAGTTAGTACTGAATATTTCCTACTTTCAAAATCAATGTAAAAACTGTACTTTACTGGGAGTCTGCTTTGTAAGTAGGTTAATTTAATTTTAATCCCAGCTACAAACTTTTTGAATTACTGTGAAAACGTTGCTTCTTCTGTCGATTCTGGATAAAAGAAGAAGTAGATAATCGCAGTTTATAAGAACTATTTGTATAAAGTATTTCAGAGGTGTATAGCCGCACGTGGTAGCTGTAGCGCCACTCACAAGTGTATTACCTGTGTTTTGATTCATGGTTAATTCCTGACCGTTCGATACAAAATACCGTTACAAACACTAACCAAGCTAGTGACTGGGAGAATGTTTGTATGGCGGAATTGTTAAATGATGTAGAACATAACGTTTCTCACATCACAGATAGAGAAAGCTAATTTAGATAGCGCTCTCCATCATCCATCTGGCTAGGTTGATATAGCTGGAAGCTACTGAATTGGATCGGTGAATCATGGTATGAGTCATATCATCAAATATGAGCAAGCATGTTTTATATTTCAAGCTACAACACCACAAGGTGAACAAAATTTGATTGTTAAAGTTAGCTAGACTAGGCTTGGCCTAATGGTTAGCGTGCCCGGTCTCTGAACCGAGGATTCCCGGTTCGTGTCCTGTTACCGTAAAAACTCGGTCAAAATTTTGAAGTATTGGGTGCACCTATAAAAGCAATGGTCAAATCTCTATTCAATCAGATAAGAGAAACCCAAGAATTGGCGGCGGGTACTTTTGACTAACTGTCTTCCCTCTAGCCTATCATTTCAAAATTAGGAATGGCTATGAGTTACTTCTTTCATAGCTTTGCGCGAAAATATCTTACAAAATAACAACAAAAACATCAATCTGCAAATTTAGATAGATTCAAAACCTCTTCTTTATTGAAAAAGTATCTCACACTGTGTGTACACAAACGAAAATGTACACCATATTTTTTCTTGTTTATGATGATATAAGGTTGTGGGCGGGGTAATGCATCTTGCCAAATGGAGTAAATGCCATTTCTTTTAAAATGAAAGATGTAAATAATTAAATGAAGCAGCTTTAATTTCCTTCACTTTTCAATTATACAATTGCATTTGTTAGTTTCATTCAACCTTGGAAAGTAAAGCTGTAGCAGTTTGTGTAGTTTGGAATAATTAAAGTTTACTTACGTCATTGTTATGCTAATTTAAACATTGTTTTCCTAAGAAACTGTTCGAGTTCCCTTTTAAGAAAATTACGTTTCAAATACATGATAATTAGGTTATCCTAATATACTTGAAATTAACGAGTGTTAAAGAAGAAAACGGTTTACGTGGAATTTTGCTTTGCTCAAGTATACTCGAATCTAAGTAATAATTTTCCCATTAACGACGATGCTTCCAAGTTGGTTTAAAGCATATTCTGAGTTGAGTTAATTCAAGTTTGTTTGCTGTTGTTGTTCATTTTTTTATGAAAGTTGAGTGATTATACTCGGTGCCGCTAAAATAGTTTACCACAAGGAGTCAGCTCTCATTCATAGTTGTACTTTCCTCAAAGTACAAAAATGTGAACTGTGTATTTTGAGATTCAATTTGACATCGCTTTTCGAAAATTCCAGGGAATAGTATTAATCATTCTTTCCTTGTTGATGCTAGCGTGAGAGTGAACTAGTGATTATCGGACTGGGAACCTGAGGATATCGGGTTCGAAAGATGGTGCTACCACACTTAGAACTTTTAGCGTGAGTAAGTTATAAGAGTGACAG